AACTATTTTAGAAAGTAAATTTAAACACCCTGTATTTCGGAAGCCACGCATGTTTCGACCCATGTTTATATAGACTTTATGCATTAATTTTAAAGGTTCTATCGAATCTTAAAGTTATGCAACAATAAACTGAAACACCCTGTATACTTTGAAGCTAGATTAATAAGCTTGTTAGCCATTTGGTAGCTGTTCGGAGAGAAATTATAGAAATAATCAGCGTAAGACTGACTTGCACAATGTTGAAGCATGTTAGCGATATCAAAAATGTATATGAGGAACAGAAGAGGCTCTAATATGGATCCCTGAGGCACGCCGGAATAAATAGGTTTTTTCTAAATGTATATCCTGTATCACGACATACTCATGTGGTTCATTTAGATAACAATCTATCCATTTCCGAGCCACATCGTCAAATCCAATATGTTTTAAGACTCATGCGGTTGGTTCTTGTTTTCCCGCCGCTTCCAGTACCTTATCAACAACACGCGCCTGAGCGCAAGTCGTATGTGGAGAAGAAGAGTAACGATGAATAAACTGTGTACTTAATCTGTCTATACTAATAGTAATTTTTCGCAAAAAAAACAGTGGCGTACTGCTATTTCGCTAAACAGGTACCCGTCAGGATGAACGTCACTAATGTAAGTGTTCTAGAAAGCAATTTTGTAAATGCTAATTTGGCCTATTATAATTTATTTCGGTATGCCAAATTATTACGTATTTTAACGTGCTAAATATGCCCTTCAGTCAACATTCTGAAAGACAATGCGTTATCGTAGTTGGAGCCTTATTAACCATGTTAGTTCCTCAAATCCATGCCATCCTTAGGAATTTCGAATAATACGTCAGCACCAGTTTTAGAACTTATCTATGTGTGAATATCGATTTCTAATAAGAATACTTGAGGGAATTTAAAACGTCTACTAATTTTAAAAACGGAACGCGCTCTTCATGCTGTTTCCAATATTTTTCTCCCATATGGTTTTCCTACATACCTTCCATACACCTTTTATTTATTTTAAATTCTTCAAGTCAAAATGAATTAAGATGCTGTAGACAAATGCAAAACATATGTTTCTTCTAAGTCGCATTCTTGAGTACATGAACAGTATTTTTTCTACACATGTATGTTTACAAAGTACACAAACAATTACTATTTATGTATTCTAATCGTATGTTCGCACCTACACCTACAGTCGTTCGGTATCTACTATAATTAAGTGAGTATCATAAACCTTTTCTTCACATAATATAAATCCTAATTAGGAATATTCCTGAAACATACACCTTATCAGTTCCAAATAACTCTTATCATGATTTATCAGTAAGAGGATGATGTATTTTGATGTATTTGCCAAACAGTTCAAGCTTTGTTTTACTAAGAATAATAATTTCCTTACTTTCTCGCTCATGTGACACTATCTGATGATTCAAGATTATTGTTTCACGTTTATTATTTACGCTATCTGTGTTCTTTTCGGACACCCCTAGTTTTCTCAAAGCTGATGAACACTGGACAATGGCAGGGAGAGCATCCCACAATACCGAGAGCATTCACTGGCATACTGTTGTACCCTCATCCTGATGACATTCGCAGAAGTGAGAAATGTTATTCACGAATTCCATAATGAGCAATGGAGCAACTATTGGCGGGGATGCTCTCTGGAAAGCTGCAAAGTTTCTCAGAAACGGAATGCGAGAACAGTTCTCGCATATCTACGGTCCTGGAGGCATAGCCTTTAGGAAAAAAGAAAAGGTCATGGTTTTCGCTGATGCTATTCAAAGACAGTTTTCTCCCACTGTGCCCTTGATAATGACCTCGATGAGGAGCAACACATTGTGACATCCGTCAAGAGATATTTTAGGGCCAACGGCGTTGTAGTTGCTTTCGCGGAAGACCTCAACCTATCTCGTGGCAATAGCCAATGCTATGCTAAGAATCCAGCACAGTGGAAGGTCGCTGATGTTATAATGATTTCAAGGAAGGTGGGTTCGATATTCCCGCAAGATTACCGATTAGTCTACTATCAGCTCTTTCTAAGTTCGCTGAAAACGTGATTCTAGGTCAGAACATAATGTGATTCCTGACGTGCAATTTGGCTTTTGGTCTGAGCAAAGTACGGAGTTTCAGGCGGTTAGGCTTGTTGAGTGAGTAACCAGGGTAGCCACCCGTAGCGAATGCACTGGCATCTTGTTTCTGCATGTCTCAAAGGTATTCGGCAAGATGAGGTAAAGGGCCTTCTCTATAAATTTATCCATTCTGGCTTTATAACTTTTTAAAGCTCTCAGCCGCTCGCTACCTATTGTAACGCTTGCATCATGGTAGGTAGCGTTGCGTTCAAGTATTCATACCAAAGGTATTAGTCATCCTATTCTCATCGTCGTATGTTAGCCTCAAAAACCAAATACGTTCACAAGGTGTCAAATATTCACATCATCCTAAACCTCATAAGACCATCATGGAGCAATCTTTTCTCTATTTGGCTCAAAAGTCTTGAAACTATTTCGAAATACACATAATTTTAAAAAGAAATTATCAAAATGGATACGCTCAGTAGGAAAACAACATTTTATTGTCACACGTTCCAGCATGAAACTGATCTACGCACAGACATTGTCCCTCTGTAGATTAAAACTTATTCATTTACACATTTTATATTATTATTATTGTTATATTATGGAGAGAATAAATATCTACTACTACTACTACTATTACTACTGCTCTTATGGAAATACTCGAAAGGCGATAATCACAGAAGGACTACATAGCGAAACTCCTATCGTGGCTATCATGTTATTCGACCAAAACGCATTACGATAATGAGGAAAAGCCATGCAGCGTTCTGAGCAACAATTGTAGCCATAACCCGAGAGGTTTTAACTTGAACACAACAAATTCACTAAAACATCAGTAGAATTATTTATTCGTTAAAGACCAATAAAAATTAATAATTTGTGTTCAGTAATTAATGACTTAATAATATAGAGTAATCTCAGTGAATAACAAATGTTTGCGCCATTCACTTTCCGTCGATCAAAAAGCGAATATTTGAGATACAGTGTTAAACTCTCCTGTAAGGTAGGACTTTGACGTATGCGCTGTTATTACTTCACCAGCGAAATGTTTTTTCATGATCATGACACATCACACGGAATCGTCAGCCACCTAGCGGTCACAGAATTATTTATGGGATTCTGATAAGAACAGGTAAACATATTTGCTATCATGCAAGTATCCGCTAATAAAATGTTGAAGGTATTCCGAGCCGTACTTTTTTGTAAAGGCTTTTTTGTCATATCAGGATCCGAACAATATGAACATGTTTACTTGATATTCAGTGATTTTTCTGTGTTGGTAATTGACAGATATTTTGAATATACACCAATTAATGCACGAATTAAACGGCTTATTAGGATTCAAGGTCAAAGCTGTCCTGAGTCATCTAGCAGATCTTTAATTCAAGGAGTATACCATACACTTTGGAAAATAAATATCTATCTACTACCGTAAACAAACATCAAATCAACAAGTTTGTTACTGCTGTAGGAATGTGCCGTTAGCATTTTCTCAGATTCCATCTATAAACAAACCGCTCGATGTTATACCTTTTTACTCAATGATAATTCGTTATCTTATGACTTTGGTCTGATAATTCATCAAGTCAAGTAGTTTGCTATTTTTATATACTACTTGACTAGACAGTAAAATTACTTCGAGCGTTAATGCTCAAATCGAATTGGTTTCCTACTGTTCTACTTGACTTAAGGTCAGGTAGTTTGAAAATCTACTTGATACTTGGTGGCATACTGTAAGACCTTTAGTGATATACAGGGTGACTTCGAAGTTGAGTCATTTTAACAGTGAGTAGATCTGATCAAAAGGAATGTTTTTTCCTTTAACATTTTTCTAGTAAAATTAAAGTAACAAAGTTATAGCCCTTTAGAAGTTTGAGTACCGCCCTGTCTCAATAATAATATTATGTGCTCGTGTTTGGCAACAACGGATATAATCCGCCTTATCCGTTCATCGCATCGGAAATAAAAAAGCGAAAGAATTTGAAACGATGTTTTTACTACAATGTACAATCTTATTCAGTTGTATTCAGTCGATGTGTCAGTCGGTAACGCGCGAGTGAATAGTGAATAAAAAATGGCACATGTTTACGAAAATGCTGAATCTAGTACAAAGGGCTCGTGAATCAGGTGACTTAAGACCTCACAGAGCATGCCGGTGCTCCAAGACCGCACGATCAAATACAGGTCCGCACTGAAATACTTGTCGGGAGAATATTTTATAAAACAAGGTAACATTTTTTTTTTAATTTTTATTTTTATTTTTACACACATATTTTGGTTTATCTTCCTTCTACAATCATTATCTGAAAATTAATGACTCAACTTCAAAGTCACCCTGTATATTTGAACAACCGATGACACGAATTTGGTATTTTAATAGAAATATGTAGATAATTTATAATTTTTGCGAGACACCGTGAACACTGCAATCTCAAGCCAAACCAAACCGAAAAACATGAAATCGGTAGATAGTTTAGTTAGAATTCGGTGGATTCAAGGATAAAATCGGTAGGAAGAAGAAATCAGGGACGGCGCAAAATTAGCAGCAGGCAAGGTCTTTTGGGTCACGGAGCGCCGTGTATGAAAAACTATATTTTCATATAGCGCTAACAACTAATTTTACCAGAACAAATTATAATGACAATATATCTGTAGCTATTATACATATTGTATAACGGGCACAACTTAAAAATGATCATTATGATACAGGACTGTGGTTCGAAATCCGGTCAGTTGTTGCTTCCATTATTTGTAATTTATTTTATATATAACAAAAATTCACAAGCAGACGTATAAATAACTTAACTTGATATTAGATTGCTAATATATAATTAGTGACTTGGTTTCAATTGGAGTCAAATCAAGAAGCTTGAAAATCAAATCTAGTCATGAATTCCTACTTTGGTATATGTGTTAATACTGTTTGGTTATTTTCCTAAGAATAGAATAGTTAAAGACAATGACTTACCTGTAAGGTTGGCAGGTAGGACTACTGGCTTTCCCATGTCCCCAGCCAAATCCTGTGGAGGTACCAGAACTGCAGGAGCATCAAAATCTTGACTTTTCCTTGCAGGTAGCCTTAAAGGTGTTATTTTTTCCGGTTCTTCCGCTTCTTTGAATGGATTTTGAGGCTCCAGGTGGACCCTTTGTGTTTCTCGCTCTTGCATTACCAACCTCTGCGGCATCTGAAATGACCACTGATATCAATACAAGCAAATCAATTAGCCATTATGACTTTTATGTCAGCAGATGTACTGAAACTTAACGTTAGCGATATAGCTCGTTACTTTCTAGAACTCAGCAGGGATGGTCTGCAGGTACAAGTCGTACCGGGTAAGAGCCGTTTTACACACAAGAGAATTACTTCGAAAATTAAGGTCATAATTATGCCGAAAATTTGAATGGAAAAAATATGAAGTTTTTCTCTACAACCTGTATGACACAAGCAAACAAAATTTCCGAGTAATTCATATGATACGCCTGCGCATTAGAGTAATATTTTCGAATGGACATAACCTTAACGGGTATGACGTCCAATATAATCGGAAAGACAAGAGACGTCGTTGATTTAAATTTATTTTTGAAATCGAGATCTTGGTTAATATTATAAAACTTCTCAATGCTTGGACTATCGCATCCAGCGCCTGACGCCGCAAATTTCTATTTTTGTAATTGGGTGACTTCACCTTGAACAGGTTTGCCCATTTTTGGTACTCCTACAACAACAGTGTAACTTCTTCCTGATTCCACGACATTATGAATAAACAATAACAATAAACGCTTCTTCGTAGTATGACTCGAACAGGACCATACCCACAAATGTTAAGTGGGGTTATGTTGTTATGTTGACGTTGACATTTGATAATGACATGCACGGAAATAATCCTCTGCGCCGATTCTCGCGCATATTCTATAGAACGGGTTTTATATTTTTACCATGAAAATTTTCACAAGAATTCTTTTAGGTGTAATATGACAGCAAAAATTTTCGGCATAATTATAACCATAATTTTCGGAGTAATTCTCTTGTGTGTAAAAGGGCTCTAAGACAATTCTGGTTAGACCGCAGTATGATAACGGAATAGTGGACAAAGAACTTAAAGGCAGTTATGTGTATTCACATTAAGGCATACACATACATGCATGCATGCCTTTGCTGTTAGGTTTAAAATGATGTATTTTAAATGCACCATCATTTAAGAAATTTTACAGAAATCAAATAGGTAGAGTTTGGTTGCTGAACTTTTAAGACGAACTATGTTGTTTTTTTGTAAGTTGTATCATTTTGATAGCTGGTAACATTTCCATGCTCAACATATTGACAGATATAATGTGTCAAACTTCCGCTGTGAGCAATGGATCGTTTTAATCTTAAACAAAGGTGTGGAATATTGAAAATCTATTTTCAAAGTGAGTGCTGTGTTGCAGAAACCTTGCAAATGGTTGAAATGAAGGTCCGTCTGCGACTGGTATACGAAAATTCGTGAAACTGGCCTCCTTGTGGAAAACAGAATGTATGAGCGTGTTCGACCCATACGTACAGCCGTAAACATTGCTGCTGTTGCCCAGAGTGTGCGTGAAAACGCAAGAGTGTCAACACGACGACCTGGGATTATTTCCTTACAAGGCACAACTTGTGCAAGAGTTGAAACAAAATGACCATGCGCTTCGATATCGTTTCTCTATGTGGGCTCTAAATAGATTGGAAACGGACATCAATTTTGGTCGCGAAATCATCTTTTCGGACAAAGCTCATTTCCATATGGGAGGTTAGGTTAACAAGGATTTGGGGGTTCTGAAAATCCACATATCGTCATAGAAAAACCAATGCATGCAAAAAAAGAAAATGTTTGATGTGGATTTTGGAGTCGTGGGATTATTGGTCTCTACTTTTTTCAAGATGAAGATGCTAACATCGTGACGGTAAACGGGGAACGCTATAGAGACATGTTGAGGAGTTTTTTGTGCAGCAGAATGGCGCAACATGCCACACTAGCCGTAAAACAATCGATCTTTTACACACTAAGTCCGATAATCAAGTTACCAGCCGTTTTGGAGACGTTCATTGGCCATTGTGATTTGACGCCCATGGATTAATTCATACGGGGTACTAATAAGGACCGCTATTACACTAACGATCCTCAAACAATTGATGTTCTTAAGGAAAATATCCCTCGAGATATTGATGAAATAGACCCACAAACTATCGAAAATGTACTTCAAAATTGGGTTGAGAGGATGGACTACTACCAGGTCAGTCGCGGCAGCCATTTAACTGAAATTGATTTTCATAAATAATCGGAAGATGTATTCTTTTGAACAAACTACCGAGTGTTACAGATTGTTGAAGTGTAGTTTTAAAATCAATTTAAAAAGTAAACCAACGGATGGCCCACCCTTTATAAGGGCTTGCGCAGACAGAAAGCGTTCCACGTTCTTTGTAAGTAATAGATCTCTATAGCGTGGACACAGCGGCAGTCAGTCCACGCCGGTCAGTGTGATCTTTCCTAAGTTCTATTGTCAGAAATTGGTTCGCAAGATGACTTTCATAGAAACATTATTTGACTTAGTACTACTGCCAATACTGCCAATCTTTCGTTTGTCGATATAGCATTTCTCCAGTTGGTGTCTTGTTCCTCTATTTCCTTTTTTATACAGGGTGGTCCATAAGTCCTTTGAAATTTCAAATTTGAATAAAATTTAACGGGTGAGCGTGAGCGGCGCGGGCGAGGTGGGGGCAGTATCTTCAGTGTCTGGGAATTCAGTCGCCATGGAGTGTTTCACTGGAGCGGATCGTGCTTTTTGTGTGCGCGCGTTTTATCAAAATAATGACTCGGCAACCATTGCGCGGCGTAAATATCGAGCATACCACAATTTACACAATTTTACAAAGTGTCCAACAGCTCAAACGATTAAGAACTGGGTTGCTAAGTTCGAAGAGACTGGTTCGACGTTAGATAAACAGCGGTGGGGTCGACCAAGGACAACTCTTATTGAAGAAAACATCAACATTGTGGCACAGTCTGTTCGTCAAAATCCTACCCAGTCTACTCGTAAGCATTCCAGTGCACTAAACGTACCCAGAACATCTTTACAGCGGATTTTAAGGAAAGATTTACGTCTGCACGCTTACAAAATTCAGTTAGTGCAGGAATTAAAAGATAATGACGCTATTCAGAGACTAAACTTTGCGAATGAAATGTTGAATCGATTTTCTTCGCTCAATAATGTGTTGTTCTCGGACGAGGCTCACTTCCATTTAAACGGGCATGTAAATAAACAAAATTGCCGTTATTGGAGCCCCGAAAATCCAAGGCGTAAGCATCAGAAGCCCTTACACAGCCCTAAAGTTACAGTTTGGGCTGCTATGTCAGCGCATGGCATCGTAGGCCCTTATTTTTTTGAGGACGACAGAGGTCGCGCATTAACTGTTACTTCGGAGCGGTATGTAGCAATGATAGAAGAGTTTTTGACACCAGCGTTGCAGAATTTTCCAGGCTATAATACGCAGACCTGGTTTCAACAGGACGGAGCAACTGCCCACACCTCCAACACTTCTATGCCCGTCGTCTGTCAACTTTTTCCCAGCAAAGTAATTTCTCGAAGAGGAGACATTTCCTGGCCACCACGTAGTCCAGATTTGACCCCAATGGACTTCTTTTTATGGGGCTACCTCAAGAGTAAAGTGTACGACACCACTCCATGATCAGTTGATGTCCTGAAAGAAAATATCCGAAGAGAAATGGCAAGCATGACAGTGTTGACTTGCCGCGCAGTCATCGACAATTTTAGACGTCGTTTATATGAGTGCCGTGATCGTAGTGGATTGCATTTAGACGATGTGATTTTTAAAACATAATTCCCATTCAATAAACATGATAACAAAATATAATAATTCTTCATAATGTAACTAGTTTGGTTTTATTCCTTTTTTCCAGCTCAAAGGACTTATGGGTCACCCTGTATAATCATGCAATTCATTAAAGCTACTTAATGAATAAAAAGTCGTTCATCTTCAAGCAATGCAAGAAAAAGGACACTGAACTCTCTTTTGTCATCTCTCTTACAATTGATCGGATGCACCCAGCATCTTTGTTTGTTATTAGACTCTTCCAAACTCCTCAAAATCAATGATGTTTTCTGAGGACGAACTATCGAAATTCACCTACAAGTAAGCTTCGTAAAATGGAATGCAGTGTTCGTGACTGCTTCCTGTCTGTGCTAGAACTCGTAAGAGGAATTGGCCGGACGAACGCGGCTTGAACGCTGAACGGTCTGTCTGCGGGAGCCCTAAGGGACAGCATACACCGGGCACAGCAGGATGTCTCTATCTGACAGCGCGTATTCGCCATGACAGTGAAAGCGTCCCACGGTATGCCGACGGTATGCTATTGCATCCCCTCGCTTGCGCATCTATAGTTGAGACATTAGATTAGATTAGATAAGAGAGAAACTTAAGAATTTGTATCAAAATATTCCCGCGGGAGCCGTTATAGGCAAAAATACAATTACTTGCACATTTGAAGTTCTATTATTCGTATGCTGAAATGACAAGGCACCAAAATGACGGAAAATTTGATTCTGTTCAAAAATGGTGTATCGCTTTTCTATGTCAGATTGATAGTTTACGAGATAATTGGATAAACGCGCTTATAAAAATGGCGGCTAAAGCTCCTTTCATATAAGGACGCCAATTTTAAAAAGCATTTACCTGACAATATCAATGAAAACAATCTCTATTCCGCTTACTACTGAGCTGTAATAGGTTATGGAGTTATAAAATGCTACTCGGTTTCCTTCCTTGCCTTCCCATGGTGCGTGTTTGCCCTACCTGTTAATTTTTATTGGGAGATGGATCAGTCCAAAAAGGTCTTAGCCTTAGTGTGACATTATTTATGTTAGATCGTTCAAAATATGCAGTGAGTTTCCGGCCTTCTACTTTATTCATAATTCTACTGAAGCATTAACAGCGCGAGAAATGAAAAGCTCAACTCACCCCAATTTCATTGTTCGTCCTAACGATCGGCGATATGGGCACCTCCGTGGACGTCTCTGTATAAAACAAGAAGGCAATAGTCAGCCAGGCCGTCCCCACGACAACGGCCAACTTGATAAGCACCGATCGTTTCCGCCACAGTACGCCCATGGTTCGCAACACTCTTTACCGCACTCGCGCCCACTTTACCGCACTGTCACCGCACACTAGATGGTCCGCGTCGCGCACCGCGCTATCTGCTGCTGCGACATCTGCCTTGGATTATGCAAGGTGGCACAACTGATAACGCGGATGCCGATGTGTCGTACGTTATCACTCGTTAAATGCCGTGGGCGGTCGGCCTGAGCCCGCAGGTGCCGGGAGGTGGACGATGCTTGTGGAGGTGGAGGTGCCACTGCCTGCTGTTGATACCATCTCTAAAAAAAAATTGTATAATTGTTAAAATATTAAGTCAGGAGATTTTTCCTACAATGTTTGCAACAGTTAATCTTTTTGGTGGTATTATTAGGTGGAGCATGTGTCGAAATTTTGAACAATGCGCTTGATCGGATATCCCACAGACCATCGCTACAGAATACTACCAGAACCGACACTCTGTCAAAAATCAGGTTCTATCAACGCCAACTTGAATCCTATGCATTTGGTGGGATTCATGTTAGTGTGACATTTAGGATTTAGGGGTTATCACATTCAGTTTTGGTGTTTTGGTATAATTTTTTTTGTTTGGGTTATATTCAATATAAAAAGGCATGGGGTATACGATAAACATAAATAAATTTCATAATTCTGTTGTTTGACGTATGACATTCGGACGTCAGGCTAATAAAGCGTAACAACCCCTAGGAAAAAATCCTCCGGACGCTAATGAACATAAGCGGGAAATGTAAGCAGTTGGGGACAGAAAGATCGAAGTGACCGACAACAGGTGTCGTATCTGTATAATCTGTGCCATCGATCTTTTGTTATTTCAGGTTGCTTGATGACCCGCCATCTAGCGGAATTTAAGTGAAACAAACCGGATTGGTGAGGTAAGGTAAAAACTCTCTCAAGTTGTTGTTGTCCAAAGAACCGTTTACAGGTTATTGTCTTTGCAGGGTGGTACCGTGGTGTATGCCCACGAGGCGGCGTGATGCAACTGAAAAGCGATTGAAGATACCTCACCAATCCTGTTTGCTCCAGTTGAACGTCACCAGATGGGGCATCAGGTAGCTTGAAAGAACAAGGAACAGTGGCGTGGATAGGATCTGCCTTTAACAGTCGGTCATGAAAGTTGGTTGGCAGCTGGTGCTGTAGACTAATTGGTTATGTCGGCTTCATGGAACGGAGGACATGTGGGTTCGAACCCCGCCATCGCTTATTTTTCCTTTCTCTCAAGTCGTTTATTTACTAAACATACTCGCTGTTAGGGTTGCGCTCATCCGAAAAATCGTATATTTGTACAGATCAATTGATTTGTGCGGAAGTGTAAATAGGTAATAACCATCCTAACTCAGTGATATGTTGTGACGGATCTGTAAGATTTGGGAGCGTTACCGATTGTTCTTATTGCCACATATGATATTTTTCTACGATCCAAATGCCCGGGCAAAGTGCATATTCCATATCTTTTTGCTCTCTATCTGGGTTCCTGATAGGTAAAACTAGCTAAGAATTATTCTGTATTTCTCGAAGACGGATAAACAAAGAAGCATTTCAGACGTTTCCCCTTTTTAACCATATAATGTATACTCAGTGACATTAGAAATGTTACACCAAGAAAAAATTATTTCATCATCTTCTTTTCTGACAACAATGTGAATGTTTTATCTTTGTTTTTGTTTACTTTTGTTAAAATATTATAACTCTTAGTTTTTGTGAAGAAACCAGTTTCTGAGAGCTGAATAGTAAGGATATTTTTAGTTCTTGCTTTCTCATTTACCAGTGTTAAGCATAACAAAATACCTAGAGTTCGAAGACGTCCGTTTTTGGGGGCTATTGCTTATGGTAGCCGATCACCCCTCCGCATTGTCCAAGGCAATGTGACTGCTTCGCGTTATGTTGATGATGACTTACAAACCACTTCACTGCCGTATCTAGAGGGCCGTCCCCACGTCCTTTTTCGGCAAGACAACGCACGTTGTTCTGACGAGTTCCGACTAATTCGTCCAAATAAGCAAACACCTGTTCCCAATCAGCGTGCTTACACTGCCAGCGACCAGCTAGTCTGGGTATGCTAGACGTCGTGACAACCATTTGAGCGTTCGAACAAATTTGATTTTTTCGTACGACCTGAATCCTTTTTTGCGCACTTACTTGGTTACTTCACCATGGATAATAATAACTCTTGTATACCAGTACAGTTTACTGAGGGATATGAGATATCAAAGGCAAACATTGTCAATAATAACCTTTCAATCTCTCCTTTGTCATCTCTACTAGAAAATAAAGGATTGAGATGTTTTCCGCCATTTAACAACAGTAGCTTCAGTAACGGACTTTGAGGAAAATAAAGTCCGTCAACTTCATCCATATTTGCTGAGAGCACAGTATATTGTCTGTGCTGTCGTCGGTGGCTGTGTTCGAGGTCTGGCCGTATGAATTTAGCTTACATAGCATAGTAGGATGAACGGTGTCGACTGCAAACCGGCTTGTTCTGACGAGTATATCCAAGATTCTAGAAACTAAATTTCGTCAGACTTGGCAACCACAGTATCCGTAGCTCAAGAATGTGTGTCCGTATGGATCTAAAAAGGTGTATTATTGACGATCATTTTCTAGAATTCTTGTATATTTGCGCTCTCGATCGTTTCTCCGCGATAAATAGATGAACTTACTGTATTATTAGCTACGCTGCTAAAAAGTTTTTTAGCTATCTCATTTCCTACTTTTCTTCATGTCCTGGTAGACACTGCAAGTTTGCCTTATTTAGATGTCATAAAACAGACCCATCTCCCACAAGCCAAAGCTACGCTTCCGCTTATACTTGCGTTTTAAATATTAATACAAATACATATCTACTCACACTGTTAGATAGATAGATACACATCAACTCGCTATCGAGAAACAAAGTGAGTTCTTTGCGGCTTCATTTAAATGTAGGTCCACCAATCAACTGCACCAATAGATAGAATTCCATTTCCTCTCAAGCGCGCTGATTTTCAATTAAACGTTTGTCGTTACAACAAATAAGTGAACAGACAAAAGCTTCTGTTCACGAACTTGGAGCGAAATCACGTTGTCAACAACCGGTGAAAAGGATGAGAGGGAAATAACCCTTATCTCAACGTCACGTCACACTGACATCTTGCCATCGTCACAAGAGAAAAATGTAGAGCAGGGAAGGGTGAGAAGTCAAGATAGCTTTGATTTTGTATACATATAGGGCGTTTCAGTAATGTGAAACGGTTGATTCAGGGTAGATGATGATATCTATAGTTTATTATCCGCATGGGTATTACGTATCTTGGAAAGTGACATTTCGATTTTTGTTACATTGTATTGGTTTTTTGTGACATTATGTAGGTTTTTCTACAAAATGTTAACCTAGCACTAGCTGATGGAGACGTTGTGAATTCGTTTTGTAGTTGTACGAGTTACCAAAACGTCATGCTGCTTCAGTTATCAATGTTTGGCTCTGATTTGATGTAAAATCTGCTTCAGAGATGACATTACTGGAGGTCTAAGCTGTAAGTTGTGTACTATAACTAGAAAAAAACGGCAATGTTAATTCCATTGGAATCTTTTTCAAATACACTTACTTGAGATTCAAAGCCAGAAATTAGTTGCGCACCCACTTTTTCTTATTCATTAAATTACATAAGCAAATTTGCTGGATTTTAAAAATGAGACAGATAAGAAAAGAAAATCCCTGGTTGGTGAAGGAACAAGTGAGAAAATATGCTGCAGACAGGAATAGTCATGATAGTGAAAAGGTTATTAAATTATTTTTTATCTCCAGTCATTTAAATTTTATAGAAATTTATTTTGGAATGACAACAGAAAATACAAATCAGCGCCTAAATGCGAGGCATTGCGAAAATGTTTGATGTGTGATGCAGCCTTACTAATTTTTCTGTGGCTTAATTGCCCACAACGCGTTCGCTGTGGCGATTTCTCGTAGTGCTCCTCAAAGTTTTTGAAAACACAATAAAAGCGGAAAATCGTAATTTACAACTTTGAACATATAAGGATCTGGCCAGTTGGTCATCGACAAGTGCCAATAACAGAACAAAAAAAAAACTTTTAACATAACCTGTCTTCAGGAAGGACAACATATAAATAACCCGTCGGGCGCAGCTAATAGATATACTTCATTGGCAGCATATTCAGCCTAATGATCCAGATGCAATCTTGCTATTCAACCAACTTTCTTCTCAGAGATAAAAACTTCAGACTACTCGGCTCCGCAAAACATACGCAACCAACAATGCGTGTAGATGAGTCCTTCCTCCATAGATACACGCTCAGAGCGGTCATAGCGAGCAATCGTGGAATGAACTATTTGCTATCTAAAGACTACCTAGTCTGCAAGATGACATTTTATTGTTTTTTTCATTACCTTTTGTTTTTTATATAATACCAGTGCCAGCCGCTTGAATCTACAGGAATCTACTTTTTGATAAAACTTGATTTCAACGAATGATAATTAACAGTAGAATACCTGATTACGCATAATTAGATACCGAGTAAGTTTTTAGTGTGGGCTAACTGTTACTGCGCAAGCTGTCTAAAAAAGTTAATTACAATACAATAGTCCTTACTTGAAAAACATTTATATCCTCACAAGATCGTCCATAACCATGCGACGACCCAAGCATGCATTTCTTAAATGGAAAGCTTTCCATTTTATTGCAGATTTGGAACACCCTTACAAGTGGAGCAATTTGATATAACATACTTGAGGGTTTTATTTCCAATTCGTTGAAATACTTGACAATCTATCAAATAAAACACTGAACCTTGACAACTTGGACCTCCGCAAATGTTATAGCTGTATAATAAATTTTTCGATAAAGAAATTGTGATGGTATATTTTGTACTAGTTCAGGACGCAAGATGAGCAATTTTAAAACAAGTTAAGGGGAACATCCTGTGCATTTTTACATTCCTTGATTGCCCTTTCCACAAGCTCTTTTTTTGATATAAGGCTTTTGGGATTTTGCGCGACCGATTTTTGGGTTATAGATAACAGGTTTTCAATTAAAATATCAAGGCGAATGAACAATATTACAATACCTTCCAAACTATAAAATAGAATTTAGTTGATAATATAAATCAAATCTACCTAGCCTTATTGTAATAAAGTCGAGTAGTCAAAACGTGTCCCCATATTTTTAGCACCTCAAAAATTCAGCGATACAAACCTGCATAATGCTCATATCGGCAAAAAGCTAATGAAAAGGGAAAACAAACAGTCTGAACATAACTTTGGTTTCTTGACTACCCTCTATAAGCTATCCAAAAAAAAAACTGAAAAAGCAAGTAGACAAGTTTCTAACAAAAAAAAATAGTACTCCAGCAACAATAGTTTCGGAGGTGCAAGTTGTCAAAGTTCAGTATTTTATTATTTATTCAATTTGGAAATAGATCCCCATAGCTATATCAAATTGCTTCCAATTTAAAAAAATCATGTTTGGGCCATCGTATAGTTATGAATCACCCCGTAGAGATATACATATTTTCCAAGTAAGGATCATACTGTTGGCTACAATTTTTGTAATTAACTTTCTCGGGTTCTGTCACCCTGTATTTAATTACAGGTGACTGCGACTAAATTTTGCCAGGCAACAGTGCCGCTATCTATTCTACTATTAAATATCATTCATAGCTGCGGATTCAAGCTATCGAATATCGTACTACTAGTGTTGCCCAAGAATGTAACTTTAAGTCTTTCAGATGTGTTATCAGTCGTGCGAAAAAAAACATTACAAGATGATTATATATTTATTATTCCTTTCACCATTCATCATATTTTTTTGCTTCCACTTCAGACTCTAGTCCACAATTTTCAGGAAGGTGTTAAAAGTAGGTTATGGGAGTTAAGCAATAGTCAAAACTGAATATCGTTGCGACATTATGACTTGATACATCGTCGTACACCGTGCATTTTCTTAGCGCACTAAAAGCTCCCAGCACAAATGGTACAAATTAGAATAAGGGCGTATGCAAAAAATGCGATAATAAAAAAATGGCGTCAAGTAGGATGACGATGTACTTCCTACGAAACGCTGCCATCAAATCGTAAAGGATTACATATTTTCGGCACATGTTGACTACGATCATGTATAACAAAGTTATTAAATGTCAAACGAGCTCATACAATTAGTCCATAGTCCTCACAGATTTGACAACATTGTGATCTAGCCTACCGCCCTACAGACAGTACCGACCACCCAGAAATGTGCCAACTCTGCCTGCCACGACACATGCAATCCCAGCACCCCGTTACATATGTGGATATAAGCATCATCGCAGCAGGCAGACCAACCCTTGTAGCGTCGTCAAGCACGCGTATATTGAAGATATATCTATCATTCATGTATGTAAGGGAGAAATCTATGATGTATGAAATATGTGTATATCTAATAGGTGCATAGAATTACTGGGGCTGGAAACGTATAAATTGCTAGTATAAAAAAATGCCATATACTCTCTCCCACACCCTACAACCCCAACATCATCTGAAACGTTAAAAAACGACGTTAGAGCGATTTTTATTATTTTCTCCGTCGTTAGCCTGTAGCTGCGCCGTCACTGGACTGATTTTCAAAATCCACTGAGCTTTTCCATCCTTAGCATAACAATAACCTTTCATCAAAATCTGAGAGGGGCTTACTAAGTTTTAGACGGGCCAAGGATTAGCGGACGTACAGACCGACAGCCAAACGGACAGACCGACGAAAATAAGTGACATAGTTTTACGTTCATGTAAACATATATATTGGCAATGGATTCTATAATACGAGATAATTTAACTTTTCTGCACCTTCGACCGTTCATCACACATTCCTGGTTCACGCAGTACTATCTGCGTGACCCGCTTTGGTGAAGGTAGTCTCGACGGTGTACTGATCGAACCTGGGGCCTGATTCTAAATTTCTAAAATTTCGATGGCGCCTTGTGTCCATACACTTGATTTGCTATGATAATTTTGACACTGCCAACACAATTTGAATATAGGGGATCTATATAATTAGATGTCAAAATTATCATAGCCTATCGAGTATATCGTCACAAGGCGCCATCGAAATTAA